CAGGCAGTTAACGGGGCGTTTGCAATTTCGGTACCACACGTTTACCTAAGGTGCTGTCGTGGGACTTCCGCCTTGCATTAATTTACATTCACATACTTCACAAACAGCTTGCGTTCCGCTTCTGGAAGAATCTAAAATAGGAGCTCCATCGTGTGCGAGTCCCTCGTCAAGTGTGTTCTGGAAGGTTTTTTGCATAATTTACTCTTCCGCTTGCGTTAGAAGTGGTGGCATCTTAGCGATCGAATTTCAGGAGGCCAGTGAACGATTCTACCGCCATCGTAGTATCGAATTTCGTCCGAGTAGCTATCTTTAAGCAAGTGTTTCGTTTTACCTTTTTGTCATCATTGGAAAAGCAACACCGTCACTGCATTCCCTCTGTCTACGTTTACTCACGCACCCCTTAATTTCATGCCGCCATTGGTGAAGTGTCCCATGACACATTGACAGAAATTCTGGAATGCGTTTTCGGTTAGATTGGCTTTCCTCGATGCCGCTGTGATGCTCTTTGTCAAACAGCATTATCGTAGGGTATTTCACACTACTGAAGTGACTGGTTTTTCGTTAAAGCCAATGTAAACACTAGAGAAATCAAAGTCCGCAAAAGTGTGTTATCGCTTATTTATAATCAGACCAGTTCGGTTTTCATCCAATTGATGAAGCCATCACAATCGAATGAAGACGGCGGCGTTGACTTTGATAAATACAAGAACAAAACGTAATATTCCCCGATGGTGTTTATTTCTCTGCGGTCGAATTTAGGAACATAAGATGTCAATGGAGTTCAACACCTCCCTTTCTAACCCCTGGACTGCGGGAGGGGAACTGCATCAGTTTTATGATCTTATCGTTCTGGGACAAAATCTGGCTTGTTGTCAATTCGCAGTTTTTTACAGATTTTATATGGCTTACTTGTTTTTGAGTCTTTAAGAGCCTTAATGCTATTCGGTTGACTGAAGATTTGTAATCAGGCGAGCCAGCTAACAAGAACAGCTGATTACTTAACTCCCGTTCCTGAATAAATGATAGTTTCTGCGACTACAAATTTATACAATAACGTCGAAAGCAATTAGATATCCGGGCATGCCTTCTGTGATTCCTCCTAAAGAGATAATCTGTTCGAAGAGTATGCGTTCGTGACTAGGAGCTGGAATGCATAGGAGGTTTTGGTTTGCTCTCGAAATGCCACCGTATACGAGCCCGTTTTATTACGCACATTGGAAATTGTGAATTTAATAATTATTTTCTGACTCATCAAGCAAACTCGGGTAAGGATCAAGTACATGTGCGGGGTAAGGAAGAACCATAGAAAACGGCCTGCAATATGTTTAAAAGTAGGTGTTGTTCGGCAGAGGTTGGGGTAACAATTGGGAGAGGACCTCCAAAAAATACTGTTAGCCAAAGCAGCCTGTCTTACAGGAAAGGTGGTAATGGGGGGTTTTTGTGTGGGGCCTATGAATGAGTAAATAAGAGCCAAGGTAAAGAATGATTGTTGGTAAATTTTCTTTTCGAGCCGATTGCTTCTCAACTGTCCTAAAGTATGCCAGCTTAGATTATGCTGCATACAGACTTCTGTGGACGCTCCTCAACTGCATAATTTACGGTCAAGCTTGATGGACCATGTGTCTGTCTACAGCAATCGTTTCGCAACTGTCTTAAGGTATACTCCCATAGATTAAGCCGCATACCGACTACTTCGGGCGCCTCACAGCTCTGGAAGCTTAGGTCATGATTCATAAATAATTGGTCGGTCTACAGTGATCGTTTCTCAACTGATTGAGACTATGATAATGTAAGTGAGGCAGCATGCCGACTGCAAGTCAGATGAAATTAAGGTCAGATGAAACAGCAAATATGTGGCTCTATTACCTGCTCAAATAGCTAAAGTAGGTATTCTTTCTAGACAACAGATCTTTGGGTGCCCTTTCCCGAATGTTACCTCGGTTGGCCCTTCGTCGGCAGAATGCCATTCGCTGACCTCCACCGCCCCAAGGAGTCAGCGCTGCTAAAGTATCTACACTGCTTCACTGTTCCGCACCTCTCACACGCGTAATTCTTTAGTAAGAGGGAAGCTCATTCTTGCAAAAATTTCAGCACAGAGAGCAGTAAGGTAGTTGGAATAGTACTCGAAGTGTTGTTAGACTGAGAGCATACGTCTGTCAGCCTTGCAGGGGTGTTAAAACGCTGGTTAGAATGTTCTTCCTCCGCGCATATATTTACCCCTTGCCGAAACTCCACACAGATATCAACTGATCCCTCGGCAACTGTTTGTCAGCTCGCAAAACTGACGACAGTCGTAGGTCTCCTCCCAACGGTCTGGCTATTATAGTGACTATGCATGTAACTCAGATTTGCATTTTGGGCGAAACAAAAATAATTCTGAAGAAAGTGCTTTTAGCAGCTCATTGGTTATCTCGAATGATCATCTTGACGTTTGCTTTTACGTCTTTATGGGCAAGTCCGATCCACAGCCTCTTTTCTTGGCACCATTTTATTGTTAGCAACCGTAATAACTTCAGGCTTACTGCTTTTGTGGATCCCTAGTATTGCGCGTTGTATGGTGTGATTGTTTTTGCCTGTCCGGAATCGAGATCAGGAGGCGGTCTGTGTTAACTCAGAAATGATATTTGCCTCTGAGAGCATGCAAAATAGTTCTCGTCTGATAATTCTTAAACATACACAATGGTCCAGATACCCCGAATATTTTTGTACATAGAAATCAAATAAATTGTTTATAATGGCCGCTGTTCCTACCATAAGAGGTAGTTGTTCTGTTACTTAAAGATTATTAGTAGGTACATCAATTTCTCACCGACAGGGCCGCCTACGAGTGGGTAATTGTACTTCTAGACTTAGCAAAAACGTAGTCGGCTGAACTGTTTTTTTCACCATTCCTCATCCATTATGATCCGACGGTAGCTACCAACGACGTACACTAAGTGAGCCGAAAAATGGGTGAAGTCCTGATGATTTTATCGTAAATTAGCGTGAATTAAATTATAGTAACAACACCAACCACATTTTCTCCTCTACTTGCACCGAGGAAACGTCCAACACGTCGAGGTATGCAGCCCCAGGTGTTCTACACTTCGGGATGGGTATGACTGGCTGACGGCGGCTAATAAGCCAAAAATGGCCATACTAGTCTCCTTTGTATTTGTCAGTAATGTTATTCTGCCTACATTACGCGCCACTGTGCGGCTATATATATTTCGAAGTAATATGCGTGAAGATGCGAGGTCCAGATATATTATCGTGTATATCATCCCCCGAGGAAGACGAAGAAGAGAAATCGATTTCATGGACCAGGTTGTATTCAGACTGACGTTTCGGAAACACACTCGTTTCCATCATCAGAGTCGTGCGCTGACGTTTCCTGCTGGCCTTGATCTGTTGAGCCTTGCCGCCTGCCTCGTATTATAACCGTGCACAGCGCACGTTTGTTGACTAGCCTGCTTTCCGTTGGCTGATTGTCGCCTCCCTGATCTCAGCCATTGGTGGACTGGCGTGGCTTGTGTCCCCCTCACGCCTAACGTGGTTGCCGCTGCGTCGGCGTGCTCGTTCGCCTCCCCCTCGTCAGACGGCGGGCTGATCGGTCTTTGTTTCTCAGGCGTGGTGTTTCCGGCCTCGCGAGTACGTCCGTGAGGCCCAAAGACCCGCTCCCGGTGACAGAACAATCAGCGGTGGTCTACAGCATACCATGCCAAGATTGTGATGCCAGGTATGTTGGTGAAACGGGAAAACGCCTCGGCACAAGATTGCACGAGCACCAGCTAGCAATCAACCGCAAGGATAAGCTATCGTTAGTGTATGGCCACACACTAGAGCGGAATCACTGTTTTGCCTTCGAGAAAGCGAGTGTGATCGGCCGAGCCAATGATAAAATGGCCAGACTAATGCTGGAAAATTGGTCCTCGACTGGCACACTCAACCGGGCCATAGACCTACATCCAGCCTACCAGGCGCTCCGCGCAAGACTCGAGTCAGTCCAGGCATGGCCGATGGCACGGATGAACAGAGCCACACGGGGTCGACCGCCGACGCTCGCGGAGAGAGGAGAAGGCGCTGACGGAATGTCACGTGACCGGCGTGGCACACCGTCTCACGGACGTACTCGCGAGGCCGGAAACACCACGCCTGAGAAACAAAGACCGATCAGCCCGCCGTCTGACGAGGGGGAGGCGAACGAGCACGCCGACGCAGCGGCAACCACGTTAGGCGTGAGGGGGACACAAGCCACGCCAGTCCACCAATGGCTGAGATCAGGGAGGCGACAATCAGCCAACGGAAAGCAGGCTAGTCAACAAACGTGCGCTGTGCACGGTTATAATACGAGGCAGGCGGCAAGGCTCAACAGATCAAGGCCAGCAGGAAACGTCAGCGCACGACTCTGATGATGGAAACGAGTGTGTTTCCGAAACGTCAGTCTGAATACAACCTGGTCCATGAAATCGATTTCTCTTCTTCGTCTTCCTCGGGGGATGATATACACGATATTTCGAAGTCTCACGCGAGCCCATCGTCAAGGAATGAAAAATTGTACAACTGATCGTGTATTTAGCTCATCTCTGCCGGGGGTGACCTCTAGCTGCGCTGCTGATTTGCTCTCGCAGTGCTTGATAGGCGATTGGCAGATCGATATGTCGATTAATCGAGTCCTCGGTTGACTGCCATGCTTCCTGCAGCAGGCGAGCAACTCGGTCGTCCGACTGGCCCAATATTCTCACGCACTTAAAGTCGAAGCCGTGTCCTGGCGTGGTGGCGTGGGCGGCTACCAAGGAGAGTTTATCCTTCCGTCTCACAACCAACTCGTGTTCGTGCAATCTCGTGCGTACTTGTTTGCCGGTTTCGCCAACATAATTGGCTTGACCACAACTGCAGTCTATCCGGTAAATGACCCCCGATTTCTGGTTAATGGGGATCGGGTCCTTAGGGTGCATGAGTTGCCGGCGTATTGTTGCCTCAGGTCTGTGAGCGACACCAATCCCAAATTCGCTCATCAGTCAAGCGAATTCTTCTGACACACCGGCTATGTACGGCACTGCGCGCCAACATTCCGGTTTTGGTTGTCCCTTCGGCTGTCTTCCCCGGGTTTCTCGCCTGCACTTTTCGACAAAACTTTCAGGGTAGCCGTTCGCAGTGAAGAGTTTCCGCAGGAACTGGACCTCAGCCTTCTTGTCGGCTGGCTCGGTGCAATGGGTTTCTACGCGCCGGTAGAGTGTTCTCACGCAGCTGCGTTTGTGCGAGAGAGGGTGGTTGCTAAGAAAGCTTAGAATACGGGAGGTATTCGTTGCCTTCCGGTAAACCGTTGTCTTTAATGCACCATCACCTTTTCTCTGAACTAGTACGTCCAGAAACGGCAACTGGCAATCTTTTTCTTCCTCCATCGTGAACTGGATGTCTGGGAAGATCGAGTTGAGGTGTTGCGTGAATTCCCCAATCTTGTCCCGATTGATGATGACAAATGTGTCATCGACATACCGTACCCACAGTCGTGGTCGATAGTGGTCGAAAGCCAGTGCCTCGAGTCGCTGTAACACTGCCTCAGCAATCAAGCTGGATAACGGTGACCTCATGGGTGTACCTTTAACTTGTTCGTACACAGATCCGTTGAAGGTGAAGAAAATATTCAAGCAGTGCTTCAGGAGATCAATAAGGTGTTTTATCTTCAGTTTCTTGTCCGTTTCGTCATATTGTTCTTCCAACAAGGTTTGCAGGGTTTCAACCGCCAGATGCTGTGGGATGGAAGTGAAAAGTGATATCACGTCGAAAGAAACCATCACTTCGTCATCTGTGAGTCGTATACCTTGCAGCTTTTCGATGAATCTTTCGGCTGAGTGGACGCTTGTTTCAGAACCCTGGGTTAGAAATTTCAGACGCTGGAACAGCCACTTGGCCAGGCCAAACGTTGGGGTGCCTCTTAGAGAAACAATCGGCCGTAGGGGAGTTCCTGGTTTATGGACCTTGGGCAGACCATAGAATCGCGCGATCGCTGAATCCTTTGGTTTCATCCTCAGCCAGTCAAGCTGTGTTATTGCTTTTGACTTCCGAAGACTCGCTAGGTCCTTATTGATTTCGCTTATTAGCGTTTTCGTCGTGTCGCCTTCACGAGGAATGTAGGCAGTTCCGTCGCCCAAAAGTTCATCGACTTTGTTGGTGTAGTCCTCTTTGTTCATTACAACCGTCGATCGTCCTTTATCGGCTGGGAGTATGACAATGCTTTTGTCAGCCTTTAACGTCCGGAGTGCTTCGTCTTCTGTTTTTGAAAGTGTCTTGCGTTGCTTGTGGGACATGAGTCTGGAGGATATTCGCTGTCGTAGCAAATTCCTGTTTTCTTCAGTAATTGGAGCTTCGCGAATGGCAGATTCCGCAGCGGCGATGAAGTCAAGTGGTTAGGCATCCGTAGTATTGAAGCAGGCATCATGAGAATATTGGGCCAGTCGGACGACCGAGTTGCACGCCTGCTGCAGGAAGCATGGCAGTCAACCGAGGACTCGATTAATCGACATATCGATCTGCCAATCGCCTATCAAGCACTGCGAGAGCAAATCAGCAGCGCAGCTAGAGGTCACCCCCGGCAGAGATGAGCTAAATACACGATCAGTTGTACAATTTTTCATTCCTTGACGATGGGCTCGCGTGAGAGTTCGAAACGTCAGATAAATAAACAATTGGTCCCAGCGATCGCCTTCCCATCTTCTTCTATTCAATTACCTGGGCCGCGCGTGTTCTCTATCATTCGGAATATATATATATATATATATATATATATATATATTGCTAATAGAAGCGAAGATGCGCGTCCCCGAAAATAATTTAGAAGAAAAGGCGATCTCGGGAACAGTAGTTTTACTGTCCTAACGTTTCAAATGCATACAAGCTTCCATCGTCGGAGGTGAGTGTGGTATCGCGCCTCACAGTATTTATAGGTGGGTCACGAGTCACGGACAACGGAGCTGTCTCAGAGGCATTCGCAGTGACCAATGGAGTGAAGCAAGGCTGCGTACTGGCGCCTACCCTCTTCAGTCTTATATTTTCTGCCATGCTGATGGACGCCTACCGCGACGAACGCCCCGGGATCCGCATCGCCTACAGGACGGACGGTCACCTCATGAATCAACGGCGGATGCACTTATAATCGCGCGTATCC